GCATATATGTTCTTGCAAAGTATTTTATCAATTTTTTTTGTAAGTGAACCATGTAAAAGACAAGAAATAGAGTGACTTTCACATGAAAGATATCAATAAAACAAAGATTTATCTGGTAAAAACAGCTGCTCCCTCACTTATTGTAGGTTTTCACATGCTGATTGGGATTAAGACATCTTTACTAACAGATCTGCTTTGATTATGACATTCACTTCCATGATGACCTGTGATTTTATTAATATCATAGATGTTTACAAAATTGAACTAATGCTACTTTTGATAGAATGAAAACGTGAAGGATGATGGTCTTTCAGTGGAACCAAGCGATGAGGACCTCGCAAAAATACGTCTCAGTCAAAGTTCTGACGGGTCTCTCAAGCAGAGGACAGAAACAGGGTAATTAAATCGGTGATTCATGGAAACAGGTTTAAATCTGTGGGGAAAACTGAGTGACAGATGAGTGTGTAGTTCACATGTTACCTCAAAAACACTTGAAGTCAAACTGAAAGCAGAGCTATGAATTCATGTTTCTCCCCAGGACTGTCTTTCAAAAGGGTAGTGGCTTCCTGAGATGACTTTTTATATCTATGCATATGAAGCATTTATTTTCCTTCCATGCATTCTGAAGAGTGGCTGTTGAAAATGCCCTTCAGTTCAGTCACACACCCCATAGGATGTGTGGGTTTTCTGAACTGCTTTGTGATGAGAAGTTCTCATAATATGTCTTCTGTGTGCTAAAGATACAACTATGCTGTGGCCCTACAACTGCTGGGCTTGAGTGATGGGACCGAGCCTGACCAGAATCCTGTCCTGACGAGAGGGGCCTACTTGTCCTTCCTGTGTCTGCGCCACCTCCACATCCGGGAGCTACAGGTGCAGGCATGATGGCACAGCTGGTGTCTGATTGTCTAGAGTGGGGGCATTCCTACCTTTAATAGCAGTGCTTTCACTCCTGGATCTTTTGTGTGTGACATCAGTTCCTTCCAGGGATGGTGCCCTTCACAGTGGGGCCGCCCCCGTGAAGTCCCCATCGGGTCTGCTCCGTATGGTAGGGCAAAGCACATGGCAGCGTCTGACTTTGGTCTTCCTCTGTTCCAGCGCATCTGTCTAGGAGTTCTTAACTACTTCAGATCCGTTGAGCGAACTTTGACAATTAACACTTCAGGCCTTACCTTGGTTTCAGGGAAACTGGTCCCCACCGTGGGAGATAATTCTTGGATAAATATGGCAAAAGGAGGCCTGGGCACCTCGCAAGGCCTGGGAGATCACCACTATGTCCACAGGACACCTGCTGAGCACAAGGTGAGTTACTTGGCTGAATTTCAATGCCCTGATTAGCGTGTCTTCCAACTGCATTTCGTTAGCAATACAATCACTTAACATAGTGAAGTAACAGGTGGGGAGTCATGGTAAGCAATATAGACCTGATTGAGAATAACCATTTAGGAGTGGGGGCTGAGGGACGGGGACCAACAGACAAGAGAGGGCAATGAGGGGTGTGTAAAAATGTACCCATATAGAAGTCACAGTCAAACCCATTATTGGCACAATTAATGTATGTTAATAAAATATAGTGAAAGAGGAAGTGGTGACCAGAGCTGATCCTGTGACTATAATCAGAATTTGAATGTGGAAAGCCGAGCAGGAGGAACTTGCGTTTCAGTCTCTTGAGCTGTGAGTGCAGTGAGACCCTGTCTCAGACCTAAGCTAGTGAACAAACATCCATAACAGTGACCATTTGAGATCATGAAGCAGCCAGAGAGCGGAAGGACTCTGGAGCCCACCTCAGGAAGGGAAGAGTCAACCATTGGGTAATTGGTTTCATGTGAACAGATGGGAGAAGTCCTTTCCTCTCCTGGCCTGAGTCTCACGTTCTCATAAAATCCTTACAAGACTCTGACAATGTGTCATGCACCATTTTGTTTTCAAACATTCCAAAACAATACTAGATGAAGCAAACGTGTTGGTGCATGACTGTAATCCTAGCACTCTGAGGTCCAGGTAGAAATATCTGGAGTTCAAGGTCACCTTCAGTTACATGGCTGGGGGCCAGACCTGACTACATGAGACTTTCTAACTCCTGTTTCCCAAAAGATTCTATATTAAGCCAGGCATGGTGTTTCATGCACACCTGTAGTATAAGTACTCCAGAGATGAGGCCCAGGAATTATGAGTGTGAGCCCATGCTGAGTTACATAGTGGGACCATCTCAAAAAAGAAGAATTGAAAGGTCAGCAAGATGGCTCATTGGGTAAAGGTACTTGCCTTGAGGCATTATGCCCTGAATATAATCTCTAGGATCAACATGGTGGAAGGAAAAAGTGACTCCTGTAACTTGACCTCTGACCTCCATACTTGTGATGTGTAAATGTGTATTTACACACTCACTGTGGTATGAGCACCCAAGCACATAATACAATAAATATCTTGAAAATAAATTAAAAATTTTAAGGAGAATGGAATTAGATTGACAAATATAAAAAATAAACTGATTTAGCTTCAGACAAACCATATTCTGCACTGTGGCCCATGACAGCCTGCTGCATCTGTAAGACAGGGGAGTTTTCTTAACTGCTGCTTTCCATGTAGAGTCTAGAAAGCTTTCTCCGGGTGGCAGAAGAATAATGACAGCAATTTATGTATTTACAATTTCCTAGTATCTACTTAAACCATGTGAAGAAACGCGTGAAATTAATTTTAATTTGACCATGTAACCCCATGTACAAGATACATTATTCTCACATGTTATCAATATAAAAAAGGTCAATGGTGAGATAAGGCGCATACTTTCATCTGAGTCTTTAGAATCTAGTGCATATCACCTACAGGAGGCGTGTTGGCTTGAGGCTGCCATATTGGACAGTGCAGCTCTGGATCTCGGGGAGTATTTTATTTTCCTCACCCAGTCGTGTAGACTCTTCCACTCAAAGTCCAGGACAGCATTCTCCTTCCCCCTCCTACTCCCTTGCCACACTCAGACTCGGCTCTGATCACCTCACTCCTTACTCCTTTGAGCTCAGTCCTAGGCCTGCCCGCTTGGCTTACTCCTTCACACACTTGTGGAGGAGGCACCAGACTCTTCAAACAAACACCTGTGCAACACAAGCACATCTTTCTCTCTCCTCTATTGATCCTACCACAGCTATATGATAGATACTATAGTCGGATTTTTCTTTGCGCCATTGGCTCACAAATAATGACACACTTACTGATTGTGAAAGCTTAGGCTTGTTCCTAACTACCTCTTATAACTTAAATTAACCCATTTATATTAATCTATGTCCTATCACTTGGCATTACCTCTATTCCATCTTGCACGTTTTGCTTCTTCTCTGTGTCTCCTGGAGTCTCCCCTGCACCTTGATTCTTCCTCCTCTTTCTCTCTCTCTCTGGAAGTCTCGCCTATACCCCTGCCTAGATATTGGCCATTTAGCTTTTTAGTACACCAATCACAGCAATCAATATACCTTCACAAACATCCCACAAGATACTATGCTAATAGAGTTTTAAAAGTTGCCCTTACCAAAAGGCCCTCTCCTACTTTGTTTGTTCTAAGTTGGAGTGAAGAATAAAAATAAAGGAGGAGAGACAAGATGTCTTAGTTAGGGTTTCTTTTGCTGTGAAGAGACACCATGACCATGGCAACTCTTACAAAGGAAAAACATTTCATTGGGGTGGCTTACATTTTCAGAGGTTTAGTCCATTCTCCTTATGGTGGGACATGGTGCCATGCAGGCAGATACGGTGCTGGAGGAGGAACTGAGAGGTCTACATCTTGACCCACAGGCAACTGGAAGTGAACTGAGACACTGGGTGTGGCTTGAGCATTTACGACACCTCTAAGCCCACCCCCACAGTGACACACTTCCTTCCACAAGGTCACACCTACTCCAACAAAGCCACACCTCCTAATAGTGCCACTCCCTATAAGCTTATGGGGGCCAACAATATTCAAACTACCACAGGAGACAAAAACCATCCTCCCCCACTAACTGTAGGACCATCTTGCGGCTTTGCAGTATGCCATTTCTATTCTCTCGTAATGATAGGCATCACACTGAAAACACTCCCAGCTGCTAGTGCTTTCGTGTGAGAACACCAGGCAGTACCTTCTGCCAGGCCTTTAATAGAACCAAATATTTACATTAGGAATCTAGCCCTGGGGAGTGGGCGCAGATGCCAGCCTGCTGTGTTGATCTCAGCAAGCCCAGGAATTAAGCTGTTGGGACAAGACAAGCTAGTTTACTGGATATGGGTGATGCTCCTAAGATGAAGGCTTCCTCCCCAGCATAGTCCTTTGGCCCATTTTGATCCCACAAGGAAAGCCTTGGGCTAATATTAATGACTGTGTATTCAACAATAGTGCCAGCAAAAGAAGTCATCTATGGCCTCTCACAGCACCTTTTCATTCTAAGTGCCTACTTAACATGGCGGGGTAGGAGCTTCTGCTGAGAGATAGCAGGCTTTTCTTTTACTGCCCCTTGTCTGTGGCTCCTCAGTCATGGGAGCATGATGGCCCATGGTGTGCTGTGACTTGGTGTGTTGGCAGCAGAAGGCTTTTCAGAGGAAGTGGTGGGAGGTGAGGCCTCTCATCAGAGTGAGCCAGACCACTAGGAGCTTAGCTCTCCTTAGATGTGGGACCAGTTCCAAAGGTAGTGGGAAATGGAGGATTTTAAAGAGGGGAACATCTCTCTCTTTGCTTTATAAGTTTCTCAAGGTCTTTGCCCAAATGTGAGCATGTTACTACTTTGCTGAAAGTCCCTGATGAGCTTCCTATTCTCTATGCCCAGGCTTCTTGGTGACATTTCCAAGGCTGAGCATATTCTGTCCCCCATTTCCCTCTGTTACCTTTAGAATCTCCACAAGGTGGGGCTTGATCCCCCTCTGACTAGGAGCCCAGGTCTCTGGGCTCCTCCGCCCCTCTCCCACTCTCTCCTTGGCAAATGTGTCATCTGAGTCAAGTCCTTTCCAAAAATCTCTATGGGAAGCCCTTCTTTGTATCTCTGTGTAGAACGAGGGCTTCATCTCATGGCTCATCAGCTTGTCATAGGATCCAGCACACAGCCATGCCCGACTGTTGGCTTATCTGTTCCTGTAGGCTGTGAGCCAGTCCTTCCTTCCTGCCTCCCACAAGTGTGCTGACTAATAACTGTATTAGGCTCTATTCTAGGCACGGGGGTATAGTGGTACTCAAAACTGGCACAAATTCCTGCCATAAGGGAACTTACCACACAGCAAGAGACATGAACTATATAATGTGTATCAAATATATGGTGATTTGGCACTGAACTTTCCCTAGACTTCCTAGTTCTTGCAGTTGAGTGGGGCTATGACTGGCTTTGGGCTGTGAGCAGAAATGCCATGTGTCAGTCCTGAGCACTTAGTAGCTGGTCCGCACGCTCTGGCTGTCTTCTGCCTCAGCCAGTAGAAGGCGAAGGTCACATGGCAACATGGAATCATCCACATCCTTGGTTGCAGCTACGGGGCTACAGCCTAAGGAGCTCACTGGTCCTGCAATGGCTCTCTCTCAGTGGAGAGTTAACTTCCAGCCACACGCTCTAGAGCCATGGGGTAACGTAGCCTTTGTGGATTACTGAAGATTGTGATGGTGCCCTGGAGAAAAGTTAAGAAAGGAGAACCTAGAGTGCGGGAGTGAGACAGTGGGCGCTCCTGGTGAATGTGGGGTGAGACAGTGGACGCTCCTGGTGAGTGTGGGGTAAGACAGTGCACACTCCTGGTGAGTGTGGGGTGACACGTGCACACTCCTGGTGAGGAGGTGAAGGAGAGAGCCTTATGAAAGTGGCACCCTGGGACTGACCCATGACCTGTGATTCTCCTGTCTCCACCTCTGGCGTGGCTGGGTTTACAGGTGTGTGCCACTTAGACAGTTCTTGCCCTACAGATGATTATGCTAAGCTCTATCTTCTCCCCTCAGTGGCAGCTTCCAGTTCCTTCCTTTAGTAATGATACCACTTGTTGGACAAGAACCCAGTCTAACCCAGTAGGGCGATCTCTTAACTTCGATTATGTATGTAAAGACCCTGTTTCCAAATAAAGTCTTGTTCAAAGATTTCCTGGTGTCCGTGAATTTGGGGTACATTACCCAAGAGTAAATCACTAAGACACGAGATTGCTAACGCATTTTGGAGAAACTTATAGAACTAAATATTAACTGATTTTGTGTGTGTGTCAGAGGACAACTTTCAGGAGTTCTTGTCTTCCATCTTGCTTCAAGGCAGTCTCTCTTGTTTTTGCAGCTTACTTGGGCTAGCTGGCCTGTGAGCTTCCAGGCAACTCTGTCTCTGTTCTCATCTCTAGATAGGAGAGCTGGGATTACACATGTGTGCTATTGCACCTGGCTTTATTACAAGAGTTCTGGGATTACAGACGTGTGTTATTACATCTGTCTTACATGTGTTCTGGGATTGTAGATGTATACTAATGCATCTGGCTTTCTTATATGAGTTCTGGAGATCAAACTCAAGCCTTCAGGCTTCCTGGTTAGTTGTTACCCATTGAGCCTTTCCAGCCCAGAACTCACAGAATTAAAAAAAAAAAGTTTGTAACAGCTAATGTTTATTAATGCAATTTGCCTCGCCTAGGTGGTGTCGTATTCCATACAATTATGTATGTAGTGTAGAACGGTGAGTGGGCAGTGGACGATCAAAACTGACACACTTCAGCAGGAACCCAAGGCAGTCATTCGGATAAAGTCCTTGCTAGAGGCCAGAAATGCCAGAAGATAGTTTTGGTTCCTGTTTGTTTCCTTCTAAATGTCACCTCCACCTAAAGACTAGAAGTGAGTGACAGAAACTGAGAAGAGGTACCCGGGCACCTGGCTGGGCCAACTGGACCAGCTCCTCCTCTCCCTCCCTGTATTTCTGCCTTAAGTCTTTAAGAAGCCAGACCAGCATCTTGATGGTAGGCTGTTTCCTGGGACCTGCCCTGTCTATGGAAGCGCTGCTCCCTCTCCCTTTTAAGCTGCCCCCCACCCTGTGGGTCTGTAATAAGTTTCCCACTAAAATTCTGTGGTCAATGAATCTCATTGTTAGAATTCCTAAGACAAGACCTGGAAAACCACTGGCTCAGAGTGGCTTTGGTGGCTGTAGTTTTTTTTCAGGTTTTGGTGGACTCAGCTGGGAATGGGGACATCCGAGAAAAGTTCCATCATTCTCAAAGACACCCCATTATTCCCATATCATGATGTCCTATCCTTCCCATTTTGCTAATGACTAAGAGCAGCTGTGTGGTTCAGTCAAGGTAAGATCCTTGCAGGCCTCTGTCCCAGCCTCTGACTTCAAAGGCCACCGAGATCCTGGACTACTGAGTGCCCTCTTCCAGTTGCTCTAGAATTAACTAGAAAAACAAATTATTTTATGTGCCTCAGGAGCAACCTCTCCCCACCAACATTCTGTGTGTGTGTGTGTGTGTGTGTGTGTGTGTGTGTGTGTGTGTGTGTGTGTTTTAGAAACAAGTTCAGGGCACAAACAAAGAGACCACTACTCCAATTAAAGTGCCTTAGCAAGGCAGGACTTCACCTTTGTCCAGAAGGTTGTGCTATTCATAAAAGGAGAAAAGCAAGCACGTGTAGATGGCAAATTCACTCGGTTTTCACTCTAATGCAGCTGACTGTCTTTTCTCCCTTAGCTGGGGACCAAACTCATCGTCTTTCATGAAGGGAAGGGGAAAGGGGTCTGTCACTCAAGTCTTAAGTTGTAAGAATGAAGCAGGCCTTTGTGTAAACCAAAATCTTACCAGGTGGGAGGATTAGAGCATTTGCACAAAGGTCTTACAAAGTGGGAGATATAAAAGTGTTTGAATTCTTTGTGGTAAACAAAAGTTTCACAGTGTTTGACAGGAGCCTACTATATAGTTCAGCTCTTGGTTTGTGGCTGTGTCCCAGCTGTCCGCTGTGTGGGAGGAGAAACCCACTGCCTGGGCCATTTGGACTGACAAAATATAACTCTCCCTTTTCCAGTAACTTTGGGGTTTGCCCTTCTTTTCCCAGGTCCATGGCGTGCAATTCCTGGAGTTCTCGGAAGTTGAAAATCAGGATGACTTTCATAGCACACAAGCTGGCTGTGTCCACACCCAGGACCAGCTCGGCCTGTATGTCATGTATGACTACGCCCTGCAGGATCTGAAGGAGCTGGAGTCAGAGCTGCTGCTTATTGCCAGCCATTACATTGAGAAAGAGAAAAGTAAGGAGGCTGGGGACAAAGTTCAATGGCATTCGGTTGGTGTGCACAAGGCTCTTGTAGATCCCCAGCACTGAAAACAAAAACACACAAACCAGTGACCAAACAATACTATTTAAAACTTGAGTAAGCATACACTACATCTTACCCACGTGTGAGCACATGTGGGGCTCAGTTCTCCCTTGTGATAGAGCTGTACTCTTTAAGTGATCCCTTGTAATTCTTGCTGTCATTAGAGTGCATGTTGCCTAGTTCTACATCACCCACTGGGTAGAAGGAATATGGTACAGGACCCTGGGGAGAGCAAAGGAAACAAGTGCGATGAACAATGTTTCTCCTGAGCCAACTGATGCTGAGGAGACTGCATTAAGGAGCAGAGACATCACTGGATTCCTAACAGGAAACCATGGGCGTGCCAGGGGATCTGGCTAAGAGAATGCCAGACAAGCCCCAGAATGAGGACTCATGACGGGCTAATGAAGCAACCCACAATCCCTGCTCTTGCTTCTTTTTAGCACCATCGCCCAAACTTCCAATTTTAAAAGTGGCTAAGGCTACTTCTCAGTAGCGTTTTCTATTGCATTTGGGAAGAGCTAAGAATGTCTAGACCCACTGCAGCACAGCAGGGAGAGTTTAGATGGTGTTTATGTTGTGTCATAATTTGTGGAGACTGTGACAGGTGATAATTCATCTTCATCCTCTTAGAAAATGCTTCTCCAAGAATGTTTGACAACTGACTTTCAAGTAGTTAATTTAATATGACGTTGAACATGTTAGCATATGCAGTCATTGCTACAACTGTGAGTATCTGAACCAGGCTCTGAACACTTTAGAACATTTCATTTTAGCTCTTAGCTTTTCTTTTCACTGGTTACACAACTTTTGTCCATATTGATTGATCATCCCATGTAACTATTTCTGTCTGATGAGAATTTAATGCAGTTGAAACACATTTAACCACAAGGACATCTTTCACTGAAGTTGGCCAGTAGGGCTCTAGTTACCCATTGTGAAGTGCTTTCCCAGCTGCTGCCTGAGACGACCCTCACCAGAGCCTGGCTCTTGCTTAACACCCATCACCGACTCAATGATTCTTCAGCTCACCCGTCAGTACCATCAGTACCTGGGTGTTTCTTACCTTCCAGTATTTTCTCCTGAAGCAGGCCACTTACAAATTGGAGGTATAATCACGTTGGCAGTGACACTAACACTAATCCAATAGAAAATATTTCTGCCAAATGGTGATGATGATTAAGTGATTGGAGGAGGCAATTGATATAATTAAGGCATGTCTTAGAAGGCGCTCTGGAAATTTGGACATAGCTAACATTAATGGAAATAATAGGCTTGGGGAGATGGCTTGGTCAGCACAAGTGCCTGCCTTGCAGTCATGAGGACCCAAGTCTACCCCCTCACACACACACAACCCCGAAGCTGGCATGGTTGCAAGCTCTGTGAAACCTGTTCTGGGAGGTAGAACCAGGAGGATTGCTAGGCTGGATGACCAGTCAGCTTATCCTACATGAGAGAACCCAAAACACATCCCCCCAAAAGTGGAGGCTCTGGGGAACACACTGTAGGTTGGCCTCTTGATCTTTGGTGTGCACTAAAACACACACACACACACACACACACACACACACACACACACACACACACACACACGCGAGAGCGAGAGAGAGAGAGAGCTGAGTTGTTAAGCAACAGAGGCGAGTTTTTGATAAAGGAGAAATGTATGTTCTGCCTTTAATTCTGTAAATTCAGGGACAAATTAGCATAGAATTCCTGTCAACTGGTTTTATTTCTAAGCAGACTTCAAAGGGGTAGGATGTAGTTTAGTTGGTCCACTGCTTGCCAGGGATACAGAAAGCCCTGGGCTTTACCCCCAGCATTGAATGGGCATGGCAGGCATGTCTGTGACCTCAGGACTCAACTTGTTCAGTAGATAGGAGGGTCAGAAGTTAACCCTCAGCTCCACGAGACTGACTCACAATAACTAAACATTACTGAGCTGGGGTGTTGGTGCACACTTGTAATTCTGGCCCCCAGGAGGCAGAAGTGGGTGGAGCTTCAGGTCTGGTCTACAAAACAAGTTCTAGGCCAGCAAGGGTGGCACAGTGAGGCCCTGTATCCAAAAGGAAAAAACAAAACAAAACAAAACAAAACAAAAAACCAGGAATTGCTAAAATTAGTCTTTAAATTTAGAAAGTAAAAACTGTTTGATTTGGAAGTCAGCAAATCTGGTCTTGGCAGGTGGCTCCTCAATTGACTTTGGGGAGTCCCAGTCGATGCCCACTGGCTCAGATCTGCTCCTGAGGTGGAGCTGATAGCCTCCATGTTCCTCAGAGAAGGAGCATCTGAGAAGGCCTGTCTCTAACCATTCCCCTTGCTTCTTCCCAGGTCACAGAGAGGATGGCAAGTCTGAGAACAGACAGCGCTGGGGCTGGGCCCATGCCAATGTGGACAGATTTGCTGTGCTGTATGACCTGTGGACCTGGGAAGCCAATCTTCTAGAGAGCAAACGCCAGGTATGACTTCTGGAAGGCAAACTGTCTCTAAAAGGTCTGTCTGCAAACTGCAGTGGTATACACCTGAGATCACAGTGCCCAGGAGGCTGAGGCAAAGTCTAAAGCCAGCCTGGACTATAGATGAGTTCCAGGTCAGTTGGTTGCATAACAAAACTGTCTCAAACAAAAAATAAACAAAACTAAACATCTGCTTGCACCAAGACAGGCTTTTTGTTTGTTGTTTGTTCTTGTTAACCTGAGACTTTTAGGGATGCTCTCAAGAAAGCAATAATTAAAGCTTTAATTAGTTAATTTAAATTTATTGTTCACACAATTTGAACACTGTGTGTGTATGTGTATTTGCATGTGTGAATCACTGAAGACTGACTCCAAGGCCTTGTTCACTATATGCAAGTCATTTACAACTGAGCTATAACCTAACTTCTCTTTTTCCTTTTTCTTTTTAATTTTAGAGTTTTTTAGATTTATTTTATTTTGTATGTATGTTTTGCCTGCATGTATGTATGCCTGGTGCCCTTAGAGACCAATAGAGGGCATCAGATCCCGTGGAACTGGAGTTATGGCTGTGAGCCACCATGTGGGAACTGAGAATCGAACTTGGGTCTCTGCAAGAGCAACAAGTGCTCTGAACTGTAGAGTCATCTCTCCTGACTCCTGGTTTGTAACGATAACTCTTTCTGCCAGCTGCCTGGGTTCTGCTGCCACTTTAGGGCCCCAAATAACACACAGAGTCTTATGTTAGTTACAATGCTTCTGGCCAATGACTAGGATTTCTCATATGCTAGCTCTGTCTTAAGTATTAACCATACCCATTAATCTATATATTTTATAAAGACTTATCGAGGATGCCAGCAGCATTTGTCCTCTCTTCTCAGGATTACATGGTGACTTTCCTCTTTACTACATTTCCCAGAATCCTCCTTGACTCCTAGCCCCACCTATCTTGCTTCTCTGTTGGCCAACAGTGCTTTATTTATCAACCAATAAAACAAATATATACACAGAAGGACTTCCCCATCACTTGTTTTTACTTTTTATTATGAGACATATCTCACTAGGTTGCCCAGGCTGGCCTTAAAGTAACTCTGTAGCCCAGGCTGGCCTCGAATGTGTAGTCCTCCTTTATTAGCTTCCTAAGGAGCAGTGCTACCAGGCCCCGTTAAATTTTATTTTCCTTGTGGTTCTTTATCACAGAAAATAAACTATGAAGGATGCTACTTTATCTTGCAGGCATATTTGTTAGAGGCTCTGAGATTCAGGCTCTTCTTAGCATGTGCACGCTAGTAGTAAGAAAAGGTGGTTTGCGCTCATAATGCAGTCGCAGAGATGAACCTAAACAGAGGCAAAGTGACTGACCAATCCCAGCTGCCACATTATCGTGGGTGTAAAGCAGGGAAGCAGGGAGTGCTGAGCTCAGTACTCAGGAAGCAGGGAGTGATGAGCAAAGCGGTAGAAGGCTGGCTGCAAAGCAAGGATTGCAACCTGCTAACTTACCAAGCACATACATCGTCAGGGGTTCACATCTTTGTAAGAAATGTGACTTGCAGGTGTTGTTTTGTTGTTGTTTTAACTCTTTTTGGCTCTGGGTCTTTGGAGGCCCACCACCCAGCTCCCAAATAATCACATGGAGGCTTATTCTTTCTTATGAATGCCTGGCCTTAGCTTGGCTTATTTCCAGCCAGCTTTTCTTAACTTAATTGTGCCCTCTACCTTTTGCCTCTGAACTTTCATCTTTCTTGATTCTGTATACCTTTCTTTACTTCTCACTCTGTGGCTTACTGTGCAGCTGGGTGGCTGGCTGCTGATGTCCTCTTCTCCTTTTCTCGCTCCTAGCTCTCTTCCCAGATTTCTCCTCCTATTTATTCTCTCTGCCTAGCAGCTCTGCCTAATCCTCTTTATCAAACCAATCAGGTGTTTTAGACAGGCAAAGTAACACAGCTTCACCGTGTTAAACAAACGCAAGATAAAAGAATTCAACACGTCTTTGCATCATTAAACAAATGTTCCACAGCATAAACAAATATAACACATCTTCAGCTAATAGTCCATAACACCAATCTTCATTATTTAGCCCTTCCAATCATCATCTATCAATAGGAGAGGTTACAAAGGCTTAATTTTGTTTTTTCAATTACGTGTGTGGAGTTATGTATACCTGAGTGCAGGCATCTGTGAAGGCCTGTGGTGAAGGCCTAAGAGCCACCTGACATGGGTACTGGGAACTGAACTCAAGTCCATGAACAGCAAGCACCTTTACCTACCCAGTCCAGTCAGCTCTTGTATCTCTAGTCCCATACTATTTTTGTTATTGTTTGTTTTTGTTTTTTTACTCGAAATTAAAATTTTACCTTGCTACATGCTGTTTTGGAGATCTATACATACATACAAGATGACTCCCATCTTTAAGACACTTAGAATCTAAGGAAGGTGTTAGGATCTTGCCTGTACAAGGTTGTCACAAAGGTAGATCCTTCATCCTGAAAGTTCAAGGGCTTCTGTGACAGCTGTGGGCACATGCCTTACTGTTTAAAAGGCCTCTGGGTGGGGGCTCTGGGATAGACACTTATGTATAAGGCTGATGTTTAGCAGGGCAGTGGTGGCGCACACCTTTAATGTCAGCACTCGAGAGGCAGAGGCAGGTGGATCTCTGAGTTCCAGGACAACCATGGCTACACAGAGAAACCCTGTCTCAAAAAACAAACAAACAAAATATCTATATTTTAGCATCATAAAAATTAAAATACATTTCTACAAATCACAGAAAAGGAGAAATTCATGGTCTATAAAGGTTTATCCAGTCTCTAAGCAAAGCATTTGTGTAACTGGGGCACATTCAAGAGCTGGGGGACATCAGTGGAAAGAGATTTGTCTTGTTTGGGGACTGTGAAAGTTGAGAAAATATCATTAAGTTTTCCAAGAGGAACAGACACTTAATCTCACCACTAAAAGATTCATAAGATGTCTGGCAGAAAAAGACTCTTTTGTTGTTTTTGTTTTATTGAGACAGGGACCTTCTTGTAGCCCTGGCTATCCTGGATCTTACTCTGTAGACAAGGCTGGCCTAGAACTCAGAGAGGGCTACCACCACCCATTGAGGATGGATTGAATAAGAAACTCCAAGAGAAGAGGTAACCTCCAGTGCTGATCTGGAGAGTTAGAAGGGACCTGCTAATAAGGATGTGGCCATGAGAGCCGGAAATAGGGGCTGATGCTGTCACTCTGAAGGGGACATGCTAGGAGTTAAGGCTGGATATGGATTTTGGAGTGAGAGAGTAAAAAGGGATTTGAAAGGGCTTCCAAGGGGTCAGGAAGGAAGGTAATAACTGAAGCAGAGTACAAGAGGGGTCAGGGCATCATTTAAGAGGATGAAGTGTGGGCACAGGCACACACCATTGAGAGGAACCAGATCTGAAGGTTTTAGATCCGAAGACAGTAAGTAGATACGGGCTGAGCCTTGACTGTAGATCCAGAGCCATGGGAAAGGTTGGAGTCTGAATGGGCCCTGGTGACACCTATTTTTGTGGGGCAGGGTGTGGAACGGAAGGAGTAGCCAAAGAGACTGAAGCCAGACAAGAAAGAAAGAGTTTTGTGAGAGTCAACAGGAAAGAGTCGATGGGTGCCCTCTGAGCAGAGCACAGTAAAATGTTGAGGAAGATGATCCCCCAAAGTCCCTCCTGGCTCAGGTGGCCAGTGGCAGCTGTGCAGGGCTCTATCAGAGGTGCGTGTGTGTGGGAGGGGGAGAACCAGACCACCACAGCTGTGATGTGGTCTGAAAACCAGGAAGTGGAAGTGGTTTCTTTGAACTGTTTTTGTAGCAGAATAGATGGTTAATGATTTTATTTGTCCTTTGGTCAGTTACTCATGGAGAGGTATGTAGGCCACTGGTCTTTTGGAAACAACAGTCTCAGCTAAGAAGGTGCAAGTGTCAGACTTTGGAAGACAGTTCTCTCCACAGATAACCTTGATCAACTTGCTGTAGCTGACTGTATTAAATAAATGGAAACAAAGCAAATTCAATACTCCAGGCACAAACTTTAAGTGTTAGCATTCGTGTGTGTGTGTGTGTGTGTGTGTGTGTGTGTGTGTGTGTGTGTGTATGCATGAGAGAGTGTTCCAGGGTATATGAAACTATTTTAATTGAAAACAATCACTGTAAATATTCCCCTCCATTCTACCCTGAGAATAAGTTCCCTATAGAAACTGAGATTTCTTGGCCAAAATAGTAAATTATGCTCTTCCGAGTCAGAAATTCTAGCCAAAGAGCCCATCTTAAACGGCTGAGCCAAATTTCCATCTGAGGTACTGTTGATCCCTGACCCCTGCACTGACTGCTCTGCCAAGTCTCCTCGTCTGTTTTCAATTGCTAAATATATTGGTGTCACCACTTAAGAAAATTCTGGGACATATTAGGTTCTTTTGAGTCCTTAAAATACCCACTGTATGTATGAAGACTCATAAAGTTGGAGCTGATGTCAACTTAAGTGGCTTGGGGGACAAGAGAAGCCAGAGAGTTGGTGTGGCACTCCTAGGTCAGGCTGTCCTATCTCCTACCTTTCCCCACGGTCACCAGACAGGTTCTATGATGATTTGAATTCATGTACGAAGCACTAAAATGATTTTAATGTATTACCCATGTGACAAAGGGGGGAAATTGTGTGGCAATTTGTGTCTAGTATTGTCTTTCTGTGTAACAATTTGGTGTGACCTAAAGCACTTTGAAAGTTACCACAAATCTTAGATCTTAAAAATAAGATAAACTCAGTAAAGATAATCTCACAAATAAGATAAGCCCAGGGAGGCTTGATGTTATTAATTTTGTCTGTTTTCTTGTTTTCTCCAGTGTTTCCCTGCCACCCTCCCTGAGTGCTACATATCACTTTGTTGAAACCTGGCCCTTAACACACAGAGGTGACATTTGACAAGTTAGGAAGACTTCTCAGGCAAATACCAGCCTGGAGTTTAAATGGAAATGGGTCAGTTAGCAAATAGATAACAAATAGAACCCGGGAAGCAGAAAGATCATGCCCTACCCTCGCTAGGAAGGAATTCATAATAAAATTATGCAGTGACTCACCTTCTCTCAGCTGAACCTAAAGATTGAAAAGACATTGTTTAAGTTACATTTCCTTTCTCAACACGTAAAATGTTTCAATATTTGGGACATACTTTCCTTAAAGGAGTATTTGTTTTATCTGAAATTCAAAGTTGGATGGATGTTCTATATTCTCACTTATTTTGGGAGAGCAGGGCTGCAGTTGAGGCTCAGCAGGCATGCCACAGCTCACATCAGACAAGTCAGATGACAATTTAGGGGACTGTGCTCTTGCCTTCTCTCATGTGAGTTGTGGGGATTGAACTCAGGTCCTCAGACTTGGTAGCAGGTGCCCTACTTGCTGAGTCATCTTGCCTGCCTAGACATCCTATGTTCTTATTTACTGACTCTGGAATCTATCATAAATAGAGAACATTTAATTTAGCATGGTCCTCTGTAACCTGGTTTCCCCAGATTGGGATTGCCAGAAAGGACTTTCTCCTTAGCCAACTTTCCTTGTCAAATAACCAACAATTGGGCTCTTTGTCCTAAAACAGGTCAAGAACTTTAAATACCATAAACCAGCTCCCAGGATTGCCCTGCCCCAGCCAAAAGGGTTCACTTTGGGCCAGAATGAATTAAGGAAGTAAATGTTTCTTCCCTAATCTTTCCCTTGGGATGGCTGAGTGACACTCTCAGCCTGGCTACTTATTCCTCCTTCACTTCTTCATCCTCTGTTACATAACAATTGGCTGTTAGTCTAGAGTGGATCTTGGGTGATGAAATCAGGTCATGGAGACCACCAGTGCTCTTCGTTTTCTGTGGGGTGAACTTAGGGCCAAAGGGGATGCCCATCTTTCTTCACTCCTGGCCCCATGCTGTGAAGCGTGAGTTTCTAAGCCCTGATACACCTTCCATGGTAGCCCCAGCTTCTGGAACCTCTTGGTGTTTCCCTGCTCATACTGAAGCTGGATTTGGTACCTTTCTCAAACAGGCATCTTCGAAGTTTAAGCACCATGTTAATCACTTTTCCTGGCACTGTGATGAAATGCCTACAAGAAGCAACTTCATGGAGGAGGGATTTCTTTGGGCTCCCACATTTGAGCCTATATAATTCATCTTGATTTGGAAGGCATGGAGGCCAGCAGCTCCATGGCAACAGGAGGGAGAGTGTTACTGGGGATCCTTCCCTCCTCACACCTCAACACAGCAGGAAGTGGAGGTGGGACAGGAAGTCACACTGGGTTGCAGATTTTAAGGCCTGTACCACAAGACCCACTCGGTCCCCCTTTCAGAGCTTCAACAACTTCTCAAAACTGGGCCACCTGCTGGAGACCAAATGTTCAGACATCTGAGCCCATGGGGGATATTTTCCATGCAAAGCACCACTGGTGCTAACCGAAGAATCCCATTTCATCCTCCATGAGCCTTGACAACAGGCAGGCAGGTGTGAACATCTCTCCATGGATGACAAGTGATTCCTAGTGCCTGTGCACTCTCGAGTGTTTAACAGTCTTGTGTAGAAGAGGAAAAAAAAACCTTTCTCCTCTGCACTCAGCAAGTCCATGCCTGGGCTTTGGAAATTAATCTGACCAAAGACAGTGCTGACCATGTGGAGGTCTTCAGAGGACAGGGGACTTGAAGACGCAGGATTCTAGCAAGAGTAATACATTGTAGAGAGGCTAAGGATAGAGGGAGGCCTCCAGGAATGGCAAACACTTGGAGTGTTGTCTTAATGGAGTTTATAACTGTTGTAGAGCAATGTTACCGACGGCACAGCATCCTTTTGTTTGTAAAGAGCAGGGGAAGACAGAACAAAAGTAGATGGCCAAGCATCTAGTCCTGGCTTCACAGCACGAGCTCCAGATCTGGTCCTCTGTCCTCTTTATCTGGTGGGTTTACTAACTGAACCGACTCTAACTGTATTTGCCAGTATCGGAACCACTAGCTACTCAGAGGGTTGAGGGGGGTCTGACTTGTTTTAAGACCCCAGGGCTTGTCAAAGTCCAGGGTGGAGCTTCTATCTTGTTTGCTGGCACCAGAGCTGCCTCTGCTGTTTCCTGACCGTAAACTTATTTCCAGCTTCTTGACAGTTACCTTGAAGCCTACCAGCACACGCTGGACCCTGAGGAGGGGTTCACTTTAGCACAAGCGATGACTGACATTATTCACCGGCGCCCCAAGTTCGATCTCGGCCACTCGTATTTCACTAAGGCCTACCAAGATGACTGTGCCTGCCTGAGGCTTCACCGGCAGCTAGTGAGGAGCGTCCTCAGCCACCTCGTGAGTAGGGAGGGCTTCAGTGGCTCCATCTGACAACAGGTGGAGATGTAAGCCAGAAACTAAAGCAACATTGTTTCATTGCAGTCCCCTACCTGGGCTTTCTAGGGGGAATGTTTATTGTAAGCTCATTTGTACTTCTGAGTTCTAAGCAAGGGAGGTTTCTAACCTCAACTACAGTTGATCATCTACAAGGAACTGAGGATATCATCTATAGAATTATCTATAGAATTATCTTCTATAAAAGGACAAGTGGTACATCTTTCCAAGGCACTGGCATATAAAATTGTTTTTTTTTCTCTATCTCTCTCCCATAGAGAGATGATTTTGTTTGGGGTTTTGTTTGCTTGCTTTGGTTTTGGCTTTTGAGACAGGGTCTCACACAGTAGCCTAGGCATGCCTCGAACTTCTGGCAATCCTGTTTTAGTACTGTGATTATAGATATGCAGCACCACACCCAGCCTTTGCTTTTCATATTTTATTTTATTTTATTTTTGAGACAAGCTGCTACACTGTAGGCCTGGCTGGTTGGGAACACTCTGCATAGACCAGGCTGGCCTCGAACTCACAGAGATCTGCCTCCTGGGACTGAAGGCATGAGCCACTGGACCCAGTCTTCTTTTGCTTTTTCAAGTGGGCTGGCTTTCCTTTCTTTGGCTGACCTTTGACTGAAAGACCGGAACGGTCCATTGTAAACAAGTCTTCAAAACCATGTCTGGGTGAAAACTAGTGAGGTGACAGAGACTCAAGGGGGTTTTTCCTCTCATCAAGGCTCAGGGCTCAGGTCCTGGGGATGCTATTCTTTTTAGCTTGAGCAGCAGCGGGAATATGTCCGGAGGCTCTGGCGAGGAGATCATCCCGAGGCTCACAAGACATTCGGACTTCCCCCGAACATAATTTGCAAGCAGTTTGTTTCCATCAACAACAGCTGGTAAGTTGATGTTGTCTTTTAGGCATTTCACATTTATCACTTGTAGAGTGATTACGGATGCAGCACTGGATCAAAGTACTAAGCTTTAAAGCAACGTTCGAGGGTCCATGGGTCTGTGGGTGCGTGGGCACGCGGTGCGTGGGTATGTGGGTACATGGTTATGTGGGTATGTGAGCACATGGGAACGTGGGCACATGAGTACATGGGTGCGTGGGCACGTGGGTACGAAGGTGCGTGGGCACGTGGGTACAAAGGTGCGTGGGTACGTGGGTACGTGGGTACACGGGTGGGTGGGTACGTGGTGCATGGGTGCCTGGGTATGTAGGTACGTGGGTACGTGGGTACATGAGTATGTGGGTACGTGGGCACATGGGTACAAAGGTGCGTGGGTACATGGGCACGAGGGTACGAAGGTGCGTGGGTATGTGGGTACATGGATGCATGGGTACATGGGTGCGTGGGTACATGGGTGCGTGGGTACGTGGTGCATAGGTATGTGGGTTCGTGGTTATGTGGGTATGTGGGCACGTGGGAACGTGGGCACATGGGTACATGGGTGCGTGGGCACGTGGGTACGAAGGTGCGTGGGTACGTGGGTACACGGGTGGGTGGGTACGTGGTGCATGGGTGCCTGGCTATGTAGGTACGTGGGTACATGAGTATGTGGGTACATGGCACATGGGTAAAAAGGTGCGTGGGTACATGGGCACGTGGGTACGAAGGTGCGTGGGCACGAGGGTACGAAGGTGCGTGGGTACATGGATGCATGGGTATATGGGTGCGTGGGTACATGGGTGCGTGGGTACGTGGTGCATGGGTATGTGGGTACGAGGCTTGCAACCAGCTGTGTGCACATCTTTCAATGGAAAGAATCTGCTGTTCAGGAAATAGGTTTTGGCAGACCAGGCTAAGGCTAGATTGGATACAAAAAGCTGTCAGAGTCGGTGCGATTTGCTCGGTGAAAGCTTGTTCCCAGGGTTTGAGCTCTATGCTTTAAGATCTAGGAGTAAAGCAACAGGTCGTTTACATAGATTTGGATGGAAATATCTGTACTCTTCAGTTTTAAGGTAGGAAGACCATTGACTTGCTCTGTATCCTTTATTTCCAAAACCATAATTCACAGACACGTTTTTGTTTTTGTTTTTGTTTTTGTTTTTGTTTTTTCGAGACAGTGTTTCTCTGTGTAGCTTTGGAACCTGTCCTGGCACTCGCTCTGGAGACCAGACTGGCCTTGAACTCTCAGAGATCCACCTGCCCCTGCCTCCCAAGTGCTGGGATTAAAGGCCTGCGCCACCAACGCCCATTTCTGAGATCCTCATCTAATCTAAAAGAAAATATCATTATAATACATTCAAAAGAGTCCAGCAGTGTGTGGAGAACTCAAAACTTGTCGTTGTTTATAATTAACATATGGTGAGATGAAAGGAAAAGCCAGGTGAAAAATAGATGCTAAGAATCATGGAAATTGGATCTCTGTGAGTTCAAGGTCAGCCTGGTCTACAAAGTGAGTTCTAGGACAGCCAGAGCTGTTCTACAGAGAAACCCTGTCTTGAAACACAACAACAAAATCATAGAAATTATTTATTCTTTCCTTATTTCATATTTTTTTGTTAAGCTATCCTGTTTTCTGGTGGTAATTGAAATGTTGACAATTTTGTTATAGTCATTTTCTTACTGGATGATTGGAAATATGTCAGTTTCTTTCTACTTTACGGGCTTGGGTTAAAGCAAGGAGCATGTTGGATTAGCTGGTCAATGCTCCCCAGTCCTTAGAAGGTTCTGGACCTGTAGTAGCTGTGTTATTGGTCTTTAAAAATATAGTCAGGTAGCTTTCCCCCCAAAGATATCTTTGTTCTTTGTTGTATAAAATAAAATCATCATTTCTTCTCTTCTTTAAGCCCAGCCTCAGAAAATGTCCATCTGTTGGAGCTCCACCCTTCCCTTGGCCTGGTTGGGCTCATCCCCAAAGCCCTGGAGCACCTGTTTCGTGAGGCTCGCCACTCCCACAAGCCTTCATCACCCAGTGGGCTCGCCCAGCTGGAACAACGTCTCTTGCAGCTTGCCCTGGACCTGTGGCTCACCCCAGCCAAACCTGAGGCCTGGTACAGCGCACAGCTCCAGAGAGATGTAGGTGCTTTCTGCCAGGACATTTGGGTCCTTGGCAAAGAACATTTCCTTCCAGATGGTTCTGCTTAGCTGCATTTTGCTATTTGGTGCTATTCCCCTCTCTTTGGCCAGAGAAAGAGCACAGTCACAAACCTTGCCAATATTTTTATATGAATTTTGTTTTGGACAAAGCTTCCTGCTAGAATATAAGGATGTCAGTATAATTAAAATTAAGTGGAAGATTACATAGGTATATGTATCGGGGAGAAGATGGAGGTACACTGGACAGCCATAGTGCCATAGTGGTCAGTGGCTGGGGCTGTGCCTGATGACTTAGGTAGTGTCCGTACTGGTATTTCAGTCCTTTTCTTTTTCGGTTTGGCTTTGAAGGCTGAGTTGGGGCTTCCAAATTAATCTTGTTCTACAGCTACTCATGATATGATAGAGGTGATTTCAAGGGTATATCAGCTACTAAGACATCTGCTCTTTGGGTCACCATGGTGCCCTCTCCTCTCCTGTCCAAACAAAAATCACCTTTTAAAAAACAGATTTGTTTTTAAAATTTTTATTAGTGTGTGTGTGTGTGTGTGTGTGTGTGTGTGTGTGTGTGTGTATGCGTGCGCGCGCTCGCAAGCACGTCTGTGTGTGTGAGAGAGAGAGAGAATTTAGGCTATGTGTTGTTAGGTGCCATGGAAGCCAGAAGAAGATGTTGTACCCCTAAAGCTGCAGTTACAAGAAACTGTGAGATGCCCAGTGTGGGTGCTGGGAACCCCTGAGCTATCTTTCCAGCTTTAAAATCATTTTTAAGATGCAATTAATTTTAACTTTATTAAAATAATACAAAATTATAGAAAAATTGTAGCAGAAGAGAAAAGAATACATTTTCATTTAAAGCTATTTAAAGGCTGGCCCTAGTAGCTCAGGCTGCTTGGGTGGCTGGGGCAGGAGGATCAGAAACTCAGAGCTTGCCTGGGCCACAGTGAGCTCCAAGTCAGATTGAACTACTCAGTGAGATCCTCTCAAAAGCAAATAAGGAGAACACAATTATTAAAAGGCAAGAAGAGGTCTGGCTGTGCAGCTCAGTGGTAGAGTGCTTACCTAGCATGCCCGAGGCCCTGTGTTCAATCCCAAGGACTGCAGAAGTAATAAATAGGTTACTAAGTCCACTTACTATTTCTTGGACTTCAGCGAGTCTTCATATGCATAGGATATGATCATATTCATCATGCATTATTATCATCTTCCATTTTTACTAGTCTTTTTATTTTCTTTTGTTTGTTTATCTTGAGACAGGGTCTCACTGTGTATACCTGGCTTATACTATAGATCAGGCTGGCCTAGAACTTAGAGCATCTGCCTGCCTCTGCCTCCAGAGTGCTGGGATTAAAGGAGTGTGCCACCATCCCAGGCTCTACTAATATTTTGTTTGTTTTTCAAGACAGTTTCTCTGTAGCTTTGGAACTCATTCAGTAGACCAGGCTGACCTCGAACTCACAGATATCTTCCTGCTTCTGCCTCTCGAGTGCTGGAATTAAATGTGTGAGCCACCACCACCTCTCAGTATTACCCACTTTTGTGATCATGTAATTCCCTTATATGAAGAAATCACAACTTCTCTAACATTTTCCTGTGGATGATCATTCAAATGGTTTCTGTTTTTTTCTTTTTTATTTATTTATTTTTAATTATTTTTATTTTACAAGCACTCTTATTACATGTCAATCCCTCCATTCCCTCGCCCTCCCATCCTCCCATGCCCCCCACCAACCCCCTAACCCACCCTCCACCCACTCCCCAGGGATAGTGAGGCCCTCCACGGGGGACCATCAAAGTCCCTCACATCATTTGGGGGAGGGCCTAGGCCTCCTTGCTGTATCTGAGCTATAATAGTGTCCCTCCATAGGGAATGGGCTCCCAAAGTCCATTTGTGCTCTATGCATAAACACTGGCTCCACTGTTAGAGGTCCCATAGACTGTCTTGGCCTCCTAGCTGGCACCCACATTCAGCGGGCTTGGTTCATTCCAATGCTGGTGCCCCAGCTTTACGACTAGGGTCTCAGTGCTCTCACTCGGTCAGGTCAACTGTTTCTGTGGGTTTCTCCAGCACCATCTTGGCTCCTTTGCTCATCCCTCTTCCCTCTCCACAACTGGATTCCAGGAATATGGTTCAGTGCTTAGCTGTGGGTGCCTGTTTCTGCTTCGATCAGCTACTAGATGAAGGCCCTAGGAGTGGCAACTGAGGCAGTCACCAATCTCATTATAGGGGAAGGGCATCAATGGCAACCTCTCCACCACTGCCTAGATTCTTAGTTGGGGTCATCCTTGTGGATCCCCTAACATTTCCCCTGTGCCAGACCTCTCTCCAAACCTATACTGGCTCCCTCTATCAAGGCATCTCCTTTTTTGCTCTCCCCTATTCCTCCCTAGTTTCTGTTTTTTCTATATTATCAAAAACACTGAAGTAAGCTGGGCGTTGGTGGCATAAACCTTTAATCCAAGAACTTGGGAGGCAGAGGCAGACGGATCTCTGAGTTTGAGACCAGCCTGGTATAGGTACTATAAGAGCTAGTTCCAGGACAGCCAGGAACCCTGTCTCAAAAACCAAAAAATAAATAAGTAAATAAACATACAACAACAAAACACTAAAGACTCATCTCTATGCTTTCAGATATACCTATATTTTTAATTGATTCTTTTTATGAATTCTTGAAGACAGAATTGATGAAGTGAAATTTAAATCTTAGATACAGATTGGCAGATTGCTTTCCGAAAGAATCATGCCAATGTCTCTAACAACCAACTAATGTATTAGAGACACACTTCTGATCTAGAGTACAATGCAGTATTAGCATTAGAAACACAATGTGTGAACTAATGTTGTGTGTGTGTGAAAGGTAATATTATGGTCTTAATGTACATTTCCTTGCTATTTACTGAGGTGTGTGTGTGTGTGTGTGTGTGTGTGTGTGTGTGTGTGTGTGTGTGTTTTCTCTGTATAGTCTTACATATATTTAATTTTGTGTGTATATATGTGTGAACCTGTGTGAACTTATGTGCAACATGTGTGTGCAGGTGCTTGCAGAGACCAGAAGAGGGCCTCAGTCCCCCCTGTACTGGACCTATAGATGGTTGTGTACTGCCTGACAAGGGTCCCAGGAAACAAACCCAGGTCCTCTGCAGGAGCAGTAAGTGCTCAGTCTCTGAGACATCTCTCCAGCCCTTGCTGAGATTATTTTTTAATGCATTTGGTTACCAGCTATAATTTTTGTGTGTGTGATTCTTTTTGGTTCACTTATTTGAGAAGTTTCACTCCTATCCACTTATATGAGCTTTAATTAACTAGAACTTCATCCTTTCGCCTATCATATTTTCCTATTTGTCTTTTTTAAACAAAACATTTATTTTTGTATAGTTGAATCTGTTGACTATTTCCACTGTGATTTTGTCTGTCTTCCTAAATGCAGGAAGAAAATCGCCCTTCAGATGTTTCATTTGCCTTATTTTATCCCAATTTTAAGGGTTTGTTTTAATTTTTAAACATTTAGCTCTTTTACTGTTCACAGGAATTAGTGTACATGGATGATGAGCGAGGCAGAAATTGGAATTTTCCTGGAGTTATGAGCCATTTATCTTACTTCCATTTAATATTCTTGCAGTGTCTTGTAGTACCATATTCAATATTTTATAAAACCTCCTATAAATTGCAGTGACTGTCTGGGGTGCTTATCTAGTCTCCTGTTGATGTCACAGGAAATGTATTCACAATTGAGCCTAGAAATACTCACAGAGTGAGTATTTAAACTAATAGTGCGTGTTTAAACTAACCTTTTATATTTGGTTAGGAAATGAAAGCAACACATGCAGGAATTTAACAGCTGTCTTGGCTTTCAGAACCTGGAAATCACATTTCCAATAGACTAGCCCTTTGATAGATAAGGAAGTTATCTTAAGATAGTTAAGGAAGATGGTACAACTTGTGGAACAAATCAGAAAAGTAGATAAAGGGTCTTCAAACTAGGTCCTTATGGAAAGGGGCACCTCAGAGGACAGTGGAGATGGGAGAGCCTATTCCTTCACTAAGGCAGAGGGCACTAAAGGTCGCTTGGGTGTTTCACAGGTCACAGAGGGGCCTCCTGGGAGTCAGGGAGTGTTTCCAGGCAGGTGGGGGTCCTGTGAAACTACAGAACATGGAACTGGGAAGCTAAAGTTACTCTTGTACTACTGGATGACCTTGTAAAGTTTAAAGCTCACAGGCCAGGCTTGGTTCAGGCTCACAATCTCAGATACTCAGGAGGCTAAAGCAGGAAGATTACAAATTCATGGCCAACCGGGGCAACTTGATGAGATCTTGTTTCAAAGTAAAAATAAAAAGTAATTCCATATTAGAGTGCTCGCCTAGTATGAGGCCTTAGATTTAATTCCCAGTGTCCCACCCCCAACACATACAAGGTTTAAAGGTTGTTTTAGTTTCTTATTTCTGAAGAAGAATAGTATCTTCTACGCTTTCTTGGGGATCTGATGAAAATTAAAATGAGTTCATAGGTGTGAAAATACTTGGGCATTTTGAAACTGCACTTACAGAGGCATATAGACATTATTATAAAGGGACTGGGAGGAGGAGAGGGAGGGCAGCTGCAGCTGGGATGAGGTATATGTGAGAGGAATAAGTAAATAAATAAATAAATAAATAAATGGAAGACTTGTTATTGGCCTCCCAAACATTTTTAAGTTTTTTTTTTTTAATTTTATGTGTGTGGGTCTTTTGCCTGCATGTATGTCTGTGTTTCACATGCCTGTGGTGCCTATGGAAGCCAAAGAGAGCATTGGATCCTCATGTACCCGGGTTACTGACAGTTGTGAGCTGCCAGGTGCATGCTGGGAATCAAACCCAGGTCCTCTGGGAGAGCAGCCAGTGCTCTTTAACCACTGAGCCATCTCTCCAGTTTTTACATATATTTTTAAATCGGTGACTTTTATTTCTATTTAGTTTCTCCTCCCCCAGTTTTTGTGTTTAGACACAAAACATTTATAATAACATTTGCCATCATAACCAAAATACTTCTGTGTATATTAGTTCCCATAACCCCTTGGGCAGCCCTATTAAGTAGTGGTTATCTATTGGTGTCTGGTGGGTGGCCCAGGAAGTGATACCTCCAGAGTCTGTGCCACTGATGGTGTTTTTTCTTTTTGGTACATATGTTTCCAAATTCCTTGGTTTGCTTTCAGCTCTTTTCAGCTAAAGTGATGGGGGATCCCTTTCTCGTGGAGGAGGTGGGCCTGCTTGCACTCAGGTCTGCAGTGGACAAAGAGCAGAAACAAGGCCAAGATTTCCACGCATTGCTCCTGGAGACGTTTTCGAATCTCCTGGAACTCCTAACCCTTCGTCACCGGCTGATAGAAATGAATGTGGAGAGTGCACACTTGGCTCGGTCAGTGGGGACAGGAGCTTCACGAAAGGACTTGGGGACTAAATATGAGATTCCGGGGCTCACTGTCACAAGTCTTGCCCTTTGCTCCCTAGATCAGCTAGACTGAAATAGTCACCTGTTCCCTTCCCTCCTCGGAGTCTCCCCATGAGCCTCTGTGACCGTCCAACTGTCCAGGAGTCTCCCAGTGGTACCCACATGCTCTTCCCATCCAGTGCATGTCCTTTTGCTTGGAGGCTTGGTATTGGTTTCTCAGTTTTCTAATACAAAATGTTTGCTTGGCTTTTTACCAGGATATCCCGTGACCTGGTATCTTATTCTGTTTGTGCTATTATAATAGACTCTGCCCAAGACTGGATCATGTAAAAGGAGCAGAGATCTATTTCTGATAGTTCTGGGTGTTGATAAGGTCAAGGTCATGGGGTCCACATCTGCATCAGCCCAAGACAGAAACAGATGGGCAACAGAGCATGCTCTTGCATCTGCTCCTAGGTGGAGTGGGGAGAGAAGAAGGAGGGACGGGAGGAGGGGAAACGGGTGTGATGTCCTGTCATTGGGACCCCCTCCCACAATAGCTGACCTACTTCTTCACTAACAGCTGAGCCCTCACAACCAAATGTCTCTTTAAATGTCTCTGTCAGCTGTTTTTGTATTGGGGATTAAATTTCTAACATGTGAACTTTGGGAGACATCCAAGTCATGTCCTGGGGCCTGAGCCACACCAGGCACTCAGGATTTGGGTTGAATTTTCTCTTTCATACAATGAAGCTGCCTCGAAGAGGGCCTGGAGACATGAGAATGCCTCAGTGGCAACATCTGGGTCTCAAGAGAGATGGGGGCTCAGCAGGTCAGAGAAGAGAGATGCTAATGGAGTCTGTTTCAAGTTTTTAGTAGGAGACAATGCTAACTAAAACTTTTCTCAGAAGGAGAATGGAACTAGAAGGTTTGTTTCAAATACACAGAGTTCTACTCTGATTCCCACGGGAGGCCCTGCAGGCATAGACAGTCCAGCCATCCACCAGCCACCCTAGGACCTGTATGGTCACAGTCTTTATGGGACTCTATTTGTGTTATTTCCTTAAATTCTTACACTCTCCCTATGAGACAGGTGCGAACACTTCATTAGCAAGGAAGTAGAGGGTCAGAAAATTAAGTAATTAGCCCCAGATTTCTGCTATAGAAAGTAGTAGAAACAGAAACTGAGCTATTAGTCAACTTACTGCCCTAGGACACTTCTCTCTACAATTTATGAGCCTCTCAGGAACTAATAATGTAAAAATTATTCATAATATATTATAATAATGATGCTCTTCTCATTTGAAAAAATACTTTGGGAGCACAGTAAGGGGAATATTTCATTCTTTCTAAGTGGATGGGGAAAGTGTCACGGGAGATGATGCTATGGATAGAACTGGGTCCCTCTAAAACTCATGTGCTCACGGGCTACCACCTCAAGGTGGGAGAATCTGTTCAAGAGATACTAAGTCAAACTAGAGGTATTGGGCCAGATCCTAATCCAAAAGACTGTTGAATTCCTAAGAGTAACTTCAACACAGACTACTCAGGGAAAGGCGGGGAGAAGACGAGGAATGGAGCAGCTCCCTCCTTCACAGCCCTAGGAGGAACCAACTTGTCCACATCTTAGTCTCAGAGCTGAGAGAAGGGATTTCCGTTGTTTAACACATAGGGCACTTGATGTGTGTGCTTGATATTTTGTGACAGCCCCGACACACTGGCCCAGGTGCCAGCTGAACCCTGGGTGAGAACTGGCGTAGACGGGAGATATCAAGAGAAAGCGAGGGAATCTTAGGTGTGGAAGAATGAGCTGATAGGGGGACATCTGAATGGAGCTCAGAGGTGGATCAGGACACGGCTGAGGGTCACCGATTCCTACACGGGGGATGGTTTTGGGGACTGGATGTAGTAGATGAGAAGAGGACCAGGGCTAGAACCCCAAGCCACATCTAAACTTAACAGGAAGCCAATGAAGCCTGGGAAGGGCAGTCACAGGGCAGGAGCATGGGCAGAATGGGAGAACACCAGGAAGTAGAGGTGCTCTCCAGGGAGGGGCTGAGGGCTCCAAGAGGAGACAGAAAACATTGCTCAGAAGGAAATATAGATGACCTCATGAGGGTTCCGAGCAGATGTAAGAAAGAGTTCAGGTGGTACCCAAGCGCATCTCCCGCCTTAACTCTTCTATTGTCTGCCTGACATAATGGGAAGCAGTGCACAAGATCATTCTAGACAATGCCCTTCCCATAATACTAGGCTTGCTCTGGTCTGATTTTGTGTTCATGCTTAATCTTGTGTGTTCACTTTCTCATGATTTAATTGTCTTTCAGGAAAAACCACTAACAAATGTACCCTTGCCCCTACCCCCACTTTAAGGCTATATAAGGAACTGGCACAGGAGATGGGTTTTGAAGAATTCCATTTGTATATGAGGCCTGTTCCCTTTGAGTTTGTATCACACAAGGACAAGGTGGACCTGCCCCCTCCTGTCTTTATGACATCTCTGCTGGAGGACAGCAGTCAAGTGGACAGGTGAGCATCCCAGAGGTGAGAGCACTGTCATGATACAGAGTAACCCAGGGAGGCATGCAAGAGGAACTGTGTTTTAATTCTCTTCCTTGGATGTCATCTGCTATCATGTCAGTGTCTTTCTTCTTTCTTTCTTAGTAAGGGGGAAAACCAAAGCTCAATCAAGGGTATAGCTGGATTTGAAAACACAGAATCAGGTTGGGAAAATGCCTCAGCGGTTAAAGAGCTTGGTGTGCAAGCTTGAGGACTGGAGTTCGGATCCCCAGAACCCATGTGGCCCACATGTAATTACAGCCTCAAAAGGTGGAGAAGATGATGCCCAGAGCAAGCTGGTTCACAGAATTGCTGTATCTGTGAGATCTGCATCTCACTGAGAAAGTTTGCCTCACTGAATAGGGTGGAAAGGCGATGAAGGTAACCCCTGACATCGACTTTGGGCCTCTACATGCCCGAGCACCCATGTACTCATATACATGCAAACTTGCATACGTATATGCATGACTACTACCACCACACACACATGAAAATGGGGGGGGGGAAATAAATGGAACACATGAAATCATGGAAACCTGGAAGAACCAGGTCAGAGAATGAGCTTCTCAGGTAGACCATGTCCTTCCAGATGGAAAGGTTGTAAGGGCTGGCCTCCCCTCTTGCTTTCCCTGACAAGGAAGTCAGCCCCATTTCTGCACCTGTAACAAACAGCATAGAGCTCATGGGCAGACAGCTTAGTCTCCTTCAATGGAAACCAATTCCAACCAATGGAACCTATCTCATGGCTCAGGGCAGCCTTTGCCACTCTTCTCAACGACAGACATGATCTACTCAGCTACTGCTAGGCACCCCTCCTTCCTCTCCATCAGAGGGCCAGCTTCTTCTGTCCCCACTTCTTTCCAGAGGCTGTCTGTCCTTTCTCCCAGGGTCCCGGCGCTGCCCCTGGAGGTTCCTGCTGCTGGCTCCACCACAAGGAAAGCAAAGGGGACTGCACAGAGGGAAAAACCTTGTGCTGCTAATATTTGTTGCTCAAAATTTGACTCAGATGTGTCTGTGTGGACTCCTCAGAGCATGGGCAGGAAAGAGGTTAGCATGGCAGGATGTTATGGTGATTTCTAGGCACCTGAAAATTAGAGCTGCATTCATCTTTACTGGGTGAAGCAAGGCTACTGTCACACAAAGTGCCTTAGGTTATTTAGTGGCATTCTTGACTTCTACGGGAGAGATGGCAATAGCAGCCTCTGTCTTCCTCCTTCCCCCTTCCTCCCCCTCTTTTTCTTCCTTCTTCCCCTTTCCCCCCTTCTTTTCCTCTTTCTCATCCTCCTCCTCCTCTCCCTTCTCTTCAACCTACCTACCCCTTGTTTGCTCTGACAATTGAAGACATCTCCAGACATTGCCAAATAATTCTTCAGGGGAAATTCTTCTCTTGCTCTATTTCACCTCAAGACCAGCATTGAAAAGTAGGAAGTGTGATGTGGCCTCAAGTGAGGTCCATTCTCCAGCTGCCTCTGTGGAGCCAAGCTGTAGTCAGGGTTCTTCCAGAGCTGGTCTTTTACACTTCTGGAAAAAAAAAGGGGGGGGCTGGAACTCACCTATTGGCACAAACTTCCCAAGGCTCTGTGGCTTGGGCAAGTGGTGACCAGAACATCCAGTGATGTCCAGGTAGGCTTCAAGGGAAGGAGAGCCTTCTAGAAGGGGTGATTCGTGAATTCAGAGAGCCTGCATCTCGACTTACTTTTATGTATGCTTGTAGATGGAGTTTCTGTTCTGCCTAGTCCTGATGTCCTTCAGTCCCAAATAAATACACAGAGGCTTATACTAACTATAAACTGGCCGATGGCTTGGGCTTCTTATTGGCTAGCTTTCTCTTAATTATTAACCCATTTCTATTAATCTAAGTATTTCCACATGGTCTTGCCTTACCAGAGAATGCCTGGACCTGTTACTCCCTTCGAGGCTACATGGTGTCTCTCTGGCGGCTCACTCTCTCTGCCTTCTCTCCCCATAATTCTCCTAGTCTGGTAGCCCCACCCATACTTCCTGCCTGGCTACTGACCAACCAGTGTTTTATTAAACCAATAAGAGAAACATATATAAAAGGACACCCCCCATCATAAGCTAATTTCCTAAAGTTGTCACTTTGGAGTGACAGTGTAAGAGCAGTATGCTGGTACCTTGATATGGTGACTTACACTTGACAAAGCACATTTGTGCATATAAATTTCACAGTTGCCCTAATCCTACAATAGCTGACAGTCCCATTCACAGATGAGAAAACAAAGACTGGTAAATACTAAGTTACTTGATAGAAAGTCACATCTTACAAAGGGCTATGCCCCAAGGCAGAAGCACTGTGTAGAGAATGAGTTGGATGACTGCTGGAGCCACAAGAAAGCAAGAAGTAGATGCCTTTTAGGTGTGTAGAGGAAGGAGTTAATGGGGGTGGGTGGTCCTGAACTGGTGTAGTCAAGAAATTAAGAAGAGGGAGTGATGAAGAGAAGAAAACACCCCACAGTACAGAGTGGTCACCACAAGTTCAGCTTGCTGTTACCATTGACCTCCCAGAGCTGGTCAGCTGCTGTCCTGTGCCATCAGATGGGCGTGTCCTGACAGTTGTGTCAGGACAGGACTACTCCACTTGTCTCCTTGTAGGTACTCCCCCACTGCCCTGGTCTTGGCCATCACTGAGCTGGGTGATAACCAAATTGGCAAGTTCAGTTTTTATACAAAAGACGCCATCCTCAAGGTAAGTGATTTTGTGCATTTCTTTAGAAAAGATGCTAAAATTTGAAAAAGAAGGAAAATAGAGCAAAGCAATTTATTCTTCTTAAAGAAATTAACTCCTATAAATTGGCTTCAGTTCACAAGGAAAGCTTTCCCCTAAGCCTTACCTGGCATCATGGCACACACCTGTAATCCCAGCATTGGGGGGCGGTGTGGAGGGAGGAAGATTGGGAGTTCAAGGCCAGCCTCAACTACATAGCAAGTTTGAATTTGAGGCCAGCCTGGGCTACATGAGAGCCTGTCTCAAACAAAAGAAAAGCTGTCCTTTAGTATTAATAATGCTGGCCTTGTATGAGCCTGGCTTGAGCCATGAGGACTGCAGCCCACATATAATAACTTCTGTTAGAGATGAAAAGAAAGCTTTTAAAATATATACTTGTTAGTGGAGATCTTATCTTTTAAAACCTGGTGATTTTGCTCTCTCTCTCTCTCTCTCTCTCTCTCTCTCTCTCTCTCTCTGTGTGTGTGTGTGTGTGTGTGTGTGTGTAGATACTTTTCTTGATGACTTCAATCTAATCCTGGCTTTCAAGAGCCCTGCTTCTGAGCCCCTGTAGCTTATCAGAGCCCTCCCTGATCGCAGGGAAGCTGCATGGTGTCTACAAGGCAGGTCAGACCTGGAGGCTGCCAGCCTGGGATACACTGCTGCCGAGGGAGGAGCAGGCTCAATCTGGCAGCTGAGCAACAAGAAGTCCAGTGTGCCCTTCAGTTCAAGTCCTGGGTGTTTTGACGGTTTACGGAAGCCATGAGCCCCACCATCAGCTTCTCCTCCTTCTGGGAGCAATCTCTGATGGGTTTACTTTCTCTTCTTGTAGCTCTTGTTCCACTCAGGAGTGGAAAATATGCAAATGTCCCTTGCATGCCAGGCGACTCAGAAGAACGCTTTGATGGCAGCCATTCAACAGGCAGCCTTCTACGACATCCCTGGAACAGACAGTCCTGGTGATGCCAAGGTCAGCCTGTATGATGGAGAAGCCAGAGGCATGCTGCTCCTGCCGGCAGCTGCTGCCAGGCTGCCCATTCCTTCCCTCCCATTTCCTTCCTCTCTTCCTCCTCCTCCTCCTCCCTCCATCACCTTTCCTTTCTGATCTGTGTAGGGAAACCAGACACAGTTTCTCATACTATACACTCAAAACACAGACTATATCTGTGGCTCCAAAAGCTGTGGAGATTTCTCCCCGACAGCAAGCAAGCAATAAATTCTGCACAAGACACCATCTGTAACTGTTCCTATTCAGTTCCATGAACCTACAGGTAGCCACAGATCCCATAGGGTAAAGGGCATCAACACCAACACGGCTCTCATTTCAGATCCAGGCACAAGTCTAGGCCTCTGGAACTTCTGATTGGCTGCCTACAACTTGGAGCTCCCGGGACTCCCTCCTCAGGCTACTAGAGCTCTCACAGGGAAGCACACTTTACAGTTTATTACAAAGTCTGCTCAAAAGGATAATAACGAGCAACCAGGTGAAGAGACACGAGGCCAAGTCTGAGGGGTGCTGGGTTCAGAAGCTGTTGTCCCCATTGGATAGGGTACCGTCCTCTGGCATGTGAAAGATTTCTCAGCCACTTTCTTGCGAGTCTCTGCCTGTCCAGCTGTTTCTGAGGCTCTCCATAATCTGCCCTTTGGAAAGACTTATTGCATGGGCCTGATTGGTCATGTGGCCTTCACGGAGGCTTGGACAAGAATGTGGAAAAGCAACTAGACAAAAAGGGTGTGATCCTGTTCGAAAGGATTAGGTGAGAACCTAACTGGAGGAGAGGTCTCCTCAGATCTCGTCTCCTGAGAATTCAGCCAAGGGACACGGATAGTTTAAGCAGAAGTTTATGGAGAGAGATCAGATTGGGCTCAGCTGAAAAGTGGGCTGGCGGCGTGGTGGTAGGTGGAAGGAGGTTAGTAGCCCATTGGGGTCTGTATTTTGACTTTTTTAAAGTTTTAATGAATATTTATGAGTGGTTCAACATATTTATGAGATAAAGTGACACTCCTCCCAAATCATGGCAAATCTCATCTCTGTTTTAGGGAATTTCTTCCTATGATCTTCTTAAAAAGTCCTTGGGGAACGGGGACACCAAAAATCACAATACTGATAATTTTCTGATGAAGCCAGCATCTTTTGATGACACAAACATAGGTGGCAACTTAGAAAGTGTCCTAGAGCCTGAGTTTCTGATGTAATGGGAAAAACTCAAGTGTAGCTTCAGGGATATTTCACCCACAAAGAGGCATTCTGACCCTCCGGAGACACAGCTGTTTCCTAGACCCTGAAGGCCTAACTCTCTAATGGAGACATAGTGACCAAGACTTGGCCGCCGAGTTTGGTAACCCCACATCTAACTTCTTGCCTGCCCAGTCTCCAGAAGACCCCACAAGGCCCGTCCCTGAGGGCCTGGGGCAAAGCCAGTTCTGCAAAGGTAGAATATCTACTGTTAATATCTACTGTTAAAAGGTAGATCCGTGTATTTAAGGTTAGGGTTTCCTTGGCCTCTGCAGGAAGAAATTCCAGTGTTCATTCTGGCCTCTGGGAGAAATGAGCAGGTGAAAGGCCAGTGGAAGATGGGTGTGTGTGTGTGTGTGTGTGTGTGTGTGTGTGTGTAGAGGATGAGGTCACCAACTTTGCTCCAGAGGCCTGTTGCAAGGCTTAAGGGCCTCGGGGTTATTCAAGCCACTTAGGCGATAACATGGCCTCGGGAGTGTTGAGTCAAGAACCCAAGCAATATAGAAGTGTATGTGTATCCCATGCCATTCCTCACCTTCCTTCCTTTTTGCTCCCTCACCTTCTTTGCTGTTGGTGAGTGATAACGTGCTGATAATGTTTCCTTTGTAGATTACCCTAAAATACTGAAGAGCTAGACTCATCCAGGACAGACTGTACCAGGGGTCCACCCTTCCCCTTTGTAGATAAAGGATTCCATTGTTTTATTGTTTATCCTTCCTATCATTCTTTTGGAAAATGTAGGTAGACACATTTGATCCCCCCCCTTTTTATAACATTGTAGCTAGTACTGAGGAGGCCAGTGAACATGCCACAACTCACGTGTGGAGACCAGAGAATAACTTGTAGGGTTGGATCTCTCTTCCTGCCCTGTGGGGTCTGGATGGAAATCAGGCCCTCCAGCTTGGTGGTAAGTGCCTTTACCCACTGAGCCATCTTTCTGGCCCTTGTTTTTTTTGTTTGTTTGTTTTTGTTGTTGTTGTTGTTGTTTTGTCACAAAACTACCACACTGAGTATGCTCCTTTCCTCATTTTTGAGGATTTTATTTTTGGTCTTTTTGTTGTAGGGATGCAATTTATAGAACATAAAATTACTCCTTTAAAGTGGCTAATCTGGTTGCTGGACAGATGGCCTAGCAATAAAGAACACTTGCTGCTCTTCCAGAGGACATGAGTTCTGGTCCTAGACCACACCTTTCTGGTCACAACTGCCTGTAGCTCTGATTCCTTGTAGCCTCCTCACACACACACATGGCCTCCTCAGACACTCACACACATGGCCTCCTCAGACACCCACACACATGGTCTCCTCAGATACCCACACACATGGAACCCTCAGACACTCACACACATGGCCTCCTCAGACACCCACACACGGCCTCCTCAGGTGCGCTCAAGCATGCATGCTGGAGTACTCACACACACACACACACACACACACACACACACACACACACACACAGGCGCAATAGACACAGGCACAAATGTAAATAAAAAAAATTCCAAAAAAGTGTCTGATTAAATGTGGGTTGTTTTACTCACTAGTTTCTATTTTAAAAAATTTGTATCACTTTCTAAAGAACCCCCCCCACCTAGGTGGCCACTCCCAATCCCCTCCCCTTGGTCCCTGGAACCACTAAAGTACTTCCTGTCTCTGGATTTACTCTGGATTTACTACTGTTCGTATAAATGTATCATATGTGTGGCCTGTTGTGTTTGGCTCTTTTCACTTAAAATGATGTTTTCAAAGTCCGTGTGTGTTATGGCAACTATTATACTTCATTCTGTCATGCAGAGATAATACAGTTTGTTTATCCATTTGTCAATGGATTGCCTTTACTTTTTGGCTACTAGAAGTAATAGTGCTGTGGACATGCACACACAATGTACACAGCAATCATGCCTCAGGGACTGAAAACCTGTGGTGGCTCTTTGGAGCCACCCGATATCCTCAAGATCTTCCCTCTCTGTCCCAAGTTCTCTCTCCTTCTCCTGCTGTTCTAAACTCTACCCTAAGAGTCCTAGACATTTTGTATGCTCTGTGAGTCTCTATGCCTCTGCTCATGTTTTCCCAGAACATTTTATCCTCACCCCTGCTTCCTCCTCACACTTTTTTTTTTGGTGTAGAGGATGTTGCTCACTCTCCATGATTCAATTCAGTTATTATTGTTACAAGGAGTCCACCAGAGATGACCACTTAGACACAGCTTATAGCCAGTTGAAAGTCCTTATTCCAGCCAGCTGGGACTACACTCAGGTATTTAGAGAACCAAGTGTAGCTTCAGGGGACTTTTAAAGGCAAAAATCGCATCCGGTTATCCCCCTCAACAGCTGCAGGGAGAGGTTTGCACAAAAAAAAAATGTTTTTAATAGAAGCTAAGGTAAGCAGTTAGCTGCAGGGGGAAGTTTGCACAAGCAAGCTGTTTACCAGAAGTTGTGTTAGCTGGGGCATCTTGACCTCAGGCTTCTAGAATAGAGTTGGGAAATTTTCCATCAGGGACATCAAACTCTAGTTAAACCTGAAATGGCCTCAGCAAGCATACAAGATGGAGGGGCCTCTGCACACTGCTTTGCCCCATTGTCTTGCAGGAAACATCCAGTTCCCTTTGAACTCTGCTAACGTACATTTTATGGTTGCTTCTTCATAAAATGTATGTACAAACACATCTATAAATCTTTTACAGCTGTGTAACAGGAAGGGGCCTGTTAGCATAATCAAGAGATGGAGTGAGGGAGGAAGAGAAGGAAGGGGACGAGACAGAGAGTAAAACTGTGTGCTGCCACCAGTGCTCATGAAAGGTATCTCAGGAAGAAATGAGCCAACAGTACAGCCTGGCAGATAGTGGTGAAAGATGCTCAATGCCAGTAACCATTAGAGAAAAGGGAGTTAAAACCCCATTGAGAAATACTGCACGCCTACTAGAATGGTTAAAATTGAAAGGCTGATTGACCACCTTCAGTGCTGGCAAGGAGATGGAAGACCTGTAACCTTTGTAAACAGCTGATAAGAATGCAAATGGTGCTACTACCTGGAAAATAATTTAGCAATTTCTTTAAAGGTTAAATATGTACCTACTGTATGAACTGGGTATTGAATGTCTAGGTATTTAATCAAGAGAAATGAAAGTCCATGGCCATACAAAAGTTTGTGTATGAATGTCCCTGGCAGTTGTATTCAAGAACAGGAAAGAATCCAAGAGTCCTATCGATGGATTAATACGTAAACACATTTTGACATATCCATATAATGTCATACTATACAGCAGTACAAAGAAATAAGTCATTGACACCCACAACAATATGGATGAAGCCAAATAAAAGGATCACATTCAGCAGGGATGTATGTAAAATTCTAGGTAATCCATTCTAGCCTATAATTGCCAAAAACAGAGGTGTGATTGGGGAAGGGGAATAGGGAGAGAAGGATGGGTATAGAGGCTGTAAGTTAAAATGGTGGTGATGATTTCATAGTTGAGTACATAAAAATATACGTGTCAGAACTTACCTAACTTTATAATTTAAAATTGTATTTATAAAATGTCAACCATTCCTCAATAAAGAAAATTGCCATTTTGTAAAAAGGGAGTCAAATTTGATAGATCAGAATGAAGAGGAGCAAGGCAGATGGGTGCAGATTGAAAATGAAGATGTTTGACTTCACAGTTTTCCTGCTGACTAAGGATTTCTACTCACGAAGTAAAAGCTACAGGACCAAAGTTAGGAAGGCATGAGCTATGTGAGGCTCTGTCTTAAAAAAAAGAAAGAAAGAAAGAAAGAAAGAAAGAAAGAAAGAAAGAAAGAAAGAAAGAAAAGAAAAGAAGAGAAGAACTGAGTAAGCAATTTGAGAGCATTGGAGGATTGAGGGATAAAAAGAAATGTGGACACATTTGCAAGGCTGAAAGGGGGAAATAGTTGGGCATAGAAATAAAAGTCGGGCATGGTCACAGCTGCCAATCCAGATGAGGGAGGAGGGGATGAGTGATGGATTCAGCATTTCTGTGATCCCAGATGCCAGAAAGCCATATAATGGAAACACTAAAGGAATCTTTTCCTACCCTCACGAGCTGGTGTTGTCTGGGTAAGGAAACAGCTTCTAGCTAGATTAAAGAAAATAGATGAGACCTACCAGCATCAGCCCCAGATCGAACTCAGAACTTCAGTTCTCTTCCTTCTTAATGGTCTCAAGGCCTGGGAAGATGACCCCTCTTCTGAACTGGTAGACTTCCATTTCCTGCACACCAGGATGCCCCAGGGGTATTCAGGGGAAAATGAGGTTGGAAACTTTAGATTTTTTTCTTCATTTCTGGGATTTTCTTCCCTTTGGCCTCAACCTCCTGACATCATTTCAATATGATAGCTCCTTGGTTGTGCCATTGAAGAGTGGCCTTCCCTTTGAAGACTCACCTTTCTTTCAGGTAGTAGTTCACAAGACATGAGAGACTTCTACCCACCAATCTCCATAATGAACTGTGCTGGGAAAGCAGAAGATACTGATTTTCTACTTTCTTCCAAAGTGCTCTCTCAGTACTCTCCTGCCCTCCCTCACCCCCACTTCCTCCTCATTATCATTACATTGCCAAAGACTGCAGATATTGAAGGCGTGTCACTAGACCCAAGATGAATGATATATGGGTGTTTTATTGGGGAACAACTTACACAGAACAATAAAGAACCACCGAAGCCTGTCTCTGCCCTTCAGATCAGATCAGATCAGATCAGATCAGATCAGATCTGAGCCGAGAAGAGAGAGAGAGAGAGAGAGAGAGAGAGAGAGAGAGAGCATGCCTCAAGCTTTCCTCTTTCTGCTTCCATCTGCACTTGAAGCCATACCCAAAGGGATGTGGCCACTGTTACAGGTTCACAGGCAAGATGCCACTACAAGACATAACCCAGACACACTTGGGAAAATCTTCCAGATATTATAACTGTGTGATCCATTAGCAGATGCATGCAATTCAGCTTCCAGATCTGTGTGATCCATTAGCAGTTCTGTAGAGGCTGGTCCACACACAGAATTCCACTCAACTACTTTGTAGGATGGAGAAATTTTCTGAGAGCATTTTACATAACGGTACTCATATTCCAGAAATAGCCCTACTTTGTGCCTTACCCCTTCAGGGTGCAAACTCCCACTTCCTCCTCTTCCCTTCCCTCTTCTCTTCCCTTCCCTCCTCTCCCCTTCCCTTCCCCTCCCCTCTGTCTCTCCTTCCCTTCCTCCCCCTTCCCTTCCCTTCTCTCCAATCTCCTCCTCCCATCACACATGTGTGGAGTCCACTGTAGTCCAGCAGTCCTACAGGGCCTATATATCTAACAAACCGAACTCACATGGGTTTCAAATGGTTTAGGAAACAAGTTCAGCTCCAAGGCATCATGGCAGGATGAGTCCAGCCAGAAGAGGTTCCAGAACTGAAAGTGGCATAGAGTGTTTGCTATCAGCCCCAACTCCAAAAGCTCCAGACACCCTTACTCATTCTTCAGGACTCAAGACTACCAAAAGGTACTGGACTTAGTGGGAGGATATTTGAGTCAAACAAAAAATAGAGTGATTGGTGTGAGTTTTAATCTTTTACAATCTCATATGAAGGTGCATATGAGCACTGCTTCAGATCCAGTCCTCTACAGTGGAGGGCCAGCTCAGCCTGGGTTTAGTCATTTCCTCCTCTCTTCCTTTTGCCTCTCCTCTCTTCAACTTCTCTTTCTTCCCTTCACTTCCTCATGCCTCTTTCTCTGTAGATTTTCCCATACTGTCCTTCACAAGCAGGGAGATAAATAGGCCACTCCAGACTTTGTGTAACCACATAAGATTGAAAAGCCAGAACTGCTTTCACTGTTCTAACAAAGCTTTTACTGTTGTTAAGAAAAATTGGAGGGTGAGTTCTCTGAGAATCACTGTGTCCAAGGAGGTGTGTCTACCACCAAGGATGCCTATTATGCCTTGATCTTTCCCCACCGTGATGGAGAAAGACATAGACATATTCTTTGATAATTATGGCCACTTTGGATATTTTGTTGGGTACCAAGGGCATTCTAATTTAATTTGGCAAATATGGAAGGAAAACAGATGACAAACAAAATCACTTCTATTGGATATGTCTTCAGATCATGTTCCCAGTGTGGATGGAAGATTTAGGATAAGTTGAGAGGACCCTTCCGTTCCAGTGTCTCAGTGGCTAACGTTGAGAGGGTACACTGCCCAGGCTGCGATGTCTGGGGAGGGACTCCTGATGCATGCTTTAGGCACAATGAGGTCTCCAGGGAGCACAATGGCAGGCAAGTCATCAGACACACTTAAGAAGGTGGTCACTGTGAAAGGGACAGAATAGCCTGACTTCCTGCAGCAGCGCCCAACACACGAGAGATGGAGGGCCACACATCTGCCGATTGCTGCCCTCAGCTCAGCCGTCTCTCTTCCTCTGTCAGGGTTCCAGAAGCCTTCGTGTCTATTCAACTAGAAAAGGTGGGTTTTCGGGACTTGATGCTGAACACCTTCATACACAGAAAGCAGACGATGGCTGACAGGATGGAGAGCCCTGTGAGTGTGAAAGGAGAGAGTCTTTCTGAAGCTCTCTCTCTTTTTTATGTATGAGCAAATGAATATTCTGAATTTGGCACCTGTTGCTTTAAACCATTCAGAAAGGGCTATGGAGAACACTGCATGGAGCCCAGGCAAGACAGAGTCCTTTCACATAGGCCACAGTCATGTCCTAAGGAATGCACATTTTTCCAGGGCCATGGTTTTGTCTTGTCACTTTCTAAACGTCTAGTCTGAGTCCCTGTTCAGGGACATTTGCTGCTCTTGAGTGACCTGCAGGGGTAGGTGGCTTGGGCAAGGTAGGTAGGTGCTCACGTGCCATCTTGGTTTATCAGAAGTTACTGATATGTTCCCATTTAAGTTATTTTCAAATATTAGTTACATCATTCGGAAAATTCCCAATTTTGTCAATAGTGTTGCATTGTTGATTAAGGTTTTGGTAATCCACAGCCATCTGGAAGGAGATGAAATGGAAGAAAGGGCTTTGTCCCTGTGACAGGTAAGGGAGACTCAGCCCAGCATAGGCATGAAAATGGAACAAAATAGCAGGCAGATGCTTTATTTACTGAAGAGCGATAATGGAAGCCAAAGGCATTCACTAATTTTTGAGAATTGTTTATTTGGGGAAGAATCTATGCCTTTCTCCCCAAAATAAACAATTCTCAAAAAATAGTGACTGTGTGATAGAGCTCCAGGATTACCCAACACCTACCAGACCAGAAAGAACTCAGGCAATATTAGGTCAGCTTTGTCGGTTGTAGGAGTTTAGCCTACTTGCAAGTGAACAGGTTTGTCCTTTACCATCTATCCAATGGATGCTGGCTGAGGAGTGCCACTGTGGTCACAGATAGATCTTAGTCCTTGCAGCAAAGCAAGCAGCACAAGAGTCAGGTTGTGTCAATGCCCCTTGCCTCCCAAGTCCCACAGAGACAGAGTGGAAGAGCCACCAAGCACCCAGTGGGTTTCTGTCAAAAACCACAGTGCTGGGTGGGGCACCTCTTTTAGAGCAAATCTGCTCTTTTTCCTAGAGAGATGCTCTCCCTCAGCCCCGAGGGCTTTTCTCAGCAAACACAACCCCTGAGACATGCAAAGTGGTCAAGGCCTGGCACTGTTGGCATTTTCAGCAAGATGGGAGCAGATAGAAGAGACCCACACAAGAGTCTCCCAACACATTCACCCTCAGAAAGAAAGTCTCAGCCTTGTGGCTATTTCCCACTTGAATTTGACCATA